ATAATCAGGTAGTAACACCAACAACAACAACGACGACGAGCAAAAGAAAATTAAATGAATCGATTCAGGTTAAAACTTGCATTTGAGACAGAAAAATTTTTAAGGGAATTTATGTGTTTCCGGTCGCAGTGACGTAGTCAGGTTTTTTTTTTCTTATTAAATTATAATCGATGCGTACGACCCGCAGCTAAAAGAAAATTAATTTATTATTATTATTATTATTATTATTATATTTTCCAGTAACGGCGCCCCTTCCCCCCTCGCCCCTCCCGAGAGTAATAAAATTAAAAGAAAATTTTAAAAAAATTTTCCTTAAACAAATGTAAAATGTAAACAAATAATTGTCAGTTATGCCGTTTATGCATTGAAAGCAGAAGAAAAAATCGACCACGCGGTCGTCGTCTCCGTTGGTTTGATTCAGTTCAAATCAGGATTTCAAACGCGTTAAACGTTTTTTTTTGCAAAAAAGAAAATTTTTAATAATAATAATAATAGTAGTAGGAAAATTTTTTTCGTTTGCTCATGTTTTATTTAAATAATATTTTTTTACCGCAATATTATTATCATTATTACTATTATTATTATTATCATTAATTATTTATTTAATTATTTAAATAATTTTGATTTGAAAAGAAAAAGGGGGGCTGCGCTGGCTCTCTCTCTCTCTCTTTAACATAATTCAAGGTGAGGTTATTAAATAATTTTTTTTACCTTTTTTTTTTATTTTTATTTTTTTTTAAGGAGCTTTTTGTTTGTTGTGTGTGTGTGCTTTTAAATAACGACAACTGTTTGTTAATAAATGAATTTTCGGTTGTTTGTTTGCTTGTTTGTTGGCTTTTTTTTTTTTTAATAATTTTTACAAGCGTGGCGACGCGAAATATCGTTTTGTATATGTAATAAATTTTTTTTTTTTGTTGTTTTTTTTTTTTGTTGTTTTTTTTTGCATTAGAAAATTAATTAAACCGGGGAGGCTGGTGGGGGGCGGGGTGCGTGAGTGCGTGTGCGTGTGTTGTACACATGACCGGATGGTATTTTTTTTTTTTTTGCGTGTGTGTGTGTGTGAGCGTGTGCGTAATGTGACATTGAAAAGAAATTTTTTTTTTTTAACACTCGGTTTATCATCGTATTAGTATTACAGAAAATTTAATTTTAATTTAATAAGAAATGATTCAATATGATTTGCCTTGTGCGTTTGTTCGTTTGTTCTCATTTGTTCGTACGTTCGTGAATCTTCGTGAATGATATTTTTTTTTTTTGTTCACGATTGTGCGTTCGTTCCCGTTCGTTTACGATCCGTTCGTTCGTTAATAAACAGAAATTCAAACGTTGATTAATTCAAAAAAAAAAAAAAAAAAATTTATTTCATTTAACGCGAGATTTATTTTTAAACGAAATTAAATTTTATTAAACAATTATTATTATTATCATTATTAAGGTTTGAACGGGTGGGGGGGGGGAAAGAAAAAAGGGAACGAACGGTTGCAAAAATTTAAAAAAAAAAAAAAATGCGTATGCGTAATGTGCAATAAAAAAAAAAATTAAGGGCATTTCACCATCGCAATTTACCACCGTAACAACAACAACCGTAATAACAAACCGAACACTAATAACAATAATGATGATGATAATAATAATAATAATAAACTGAACAAACGGATTCGTTTTGCAACGAAAACAACAAAAAAAAAAAAAAATTTCAAATAACGAAATGAATAAATTTTTTATGTTGTGGATGCATGGAAATTTTTTTTTTTTCACCGTTTGTTCGTTTGTTCGTTCGTTTGTTTGTTTGTTTGTTGCAACGAATTGACCCGCGAGAGACTAAACGAAAGAGAGAGAGAAATTTTTTTTATTTTTTTTGCAATAGAAAGTCATCGTCCATCGACTAATTACAATGACAAAAACAAAACAAACAAACAAACGATCTAATCGTCGCGAAATTATTATTATTATTATTATTATTTGTTAAACGATCGTTTAATAAAAAAAACGTAAACATGATGCGTTTGCACAAAAATATTTTTTTTTTGTCAAATCGACGACATTCTAGATGTTTCCGAACGTAAAAGAAAAAAAAAGGATTAATGAATCCGTTTAGGCCTAATTTTCGTAATTTAGCCTAAGGGAAAATTCTACGAGGAGGAGTAAGGAAGTGAACATTGGAACAAACAAACAAACAAATCAAATTCAATATATTGTTATCAAAGAAACGCGCTCTAACCGCCCACTCATCATACGATAAAGGAAAAATCACGAATTAAAGGGTGGGCGGGGGGTGAAAGGGAGGGGGAAGAAAAAAAAAAGAAATTTTCAGTTAAAGTTCAGGTTCTCCAGTTTTTTCTTTCGAATACGACCACTCTCTCTCTCTATCTATTTCCCTCTCTCTCGCACACACACGCGCCCGTTTTATTACCATTGTTAACTTATTACTCGAGTGGTTGTTGTTGTTGTTGTTGTTGTTGTTCCGGCTAAAACTTTTTCTCATTTCAAGAAGGTTTTTTCGCGAAAGGTGTAGAAAAAAAAAAACATTCGAAAATGATTTAACTCGTTTAAATAATAACTTTCTTTTCTTTCTCTCTCGCCCCCCTTTCTCCTCCTCGCCCCCTCGCATTTTTACACCCCCCTTTCCCCTCCCCTTTACTCCCCTCCCAGACGTGAAACGTTTACATATCACGTTTTTTTTTTTTTTTTTTTTTAATAATTATCGGCGAAACTAAATATCACTTCAACGACGAGAGTTAATTTCATGCCATTTTTTTTTTTTTTTTAAACAAATATGGCGCGTAATTTTTTTTTTTTTTTTTATTTAAATAAAACTTTCGACTCGCGTTTTATTTTTAGTGGGGGACGCGGGGAGGAGTGGGAGGGGCCAAAAACAAAAGTTGAAATTTTTTTACTTAACAATTAGCAAAAGCTACCAGATTTTTACAAAAAAAAAAAATTTGTTTGCGTTTTTTATGACGTCATTAACACTTTTTTTTGTTTTGTTTTTAATAATAATAATAATTATTATTATTGTTATAATGTGCGTCGTTGAATGCGTGCGCGTGTGATCGTTTGATGATCGTTATTTATTATTATTATTTTTTTTTTTGGCGCGGGTTAGCAATTATTGCTAATTTAAAATCATTCATTGATTGTTTGTTTGTTTTCCGTTATTTTGTTTTTTATTGTTACTGGAATTTTTCTTGCTCTCTCTCTCACACACGCACAATAATTATAAATGGTT